TAGCCCCGTTGACTTGCTTTCAATTTTTTCGTTCTTCCAGGGACCCGTGAGCCATCCGGAAAGGGAGGAGTCTTAGGCTTCCTATATTAAATGAGCTGCATGCTGATTGGCTGGTTTACCCCAGTGGCATGGAGGAAGATATGAATGTCGGGGTGGCCCAGGTCCTCCGTAGTACAAATAAATGAGAATGCATGTCTGGCAAAGTGACAGTTTATTGAGATGTTGAACGAGGGTCTGCAGACAAATGAAGTACTGGACTACCCATAAGACCATAAGCTAAGGATCTATCTAGCATTCATTCATAGTCCGGATATTCTCAGTACATCCTGGAACGCTAGTGGTGCTCCAACATTCTTCTTTATTTTTCTCTCGACCAACAAAGCCATTAACAGTTGCCCAGGCTAGCTTTAGTCGTAGTTCTGCCTTGCGTTTTTCTGCAGTTAGCTTTACTGCGACCAACATTCATATATTGCTAACTAGGTTTGTCACGGTGTGAAAATTTAACCTCACAGTTATTGTGACCAAAATTATCACAGTTTTCGGTATTATCGCAGTATTTTTTTTAAAGCGTTCCATTTTCAGACAACTAAATAAACCCTGTATATCAGGAAAATATTGTCCTCAGTTTGTGTCTAAATTTTGCCTAAAATTTGTTATTTTGTAATTATGTTTGTTTACATTTTTCTCCTTTAGTCTTTAAAATACCAATATTTGCCCATAACTTATTTTTTGTCCGTTTGATGTCATCATTTTAAAAATATGAGATCAGATGATACTCAGTACTCAAGTAGCCTTCTAATCAGATACTTTTTTACCCTTACTTGAGTAATAAACCCTATATCAGGAAAATATTGTCCTCGGTTTGTGTCCTTCCGGTGAGCTTTGCAGATGTGGGAAAATGTCATCAGGCAGTAATCATTGTTAAATTCATAATTATTCTCGGAGAGAGACCAACTCTTATCTGCCCCTGGGAGCCCCGTAATGCATAGCGTCATTTCAATATGGGGGTGTCCGCGACACGGTTTATATGCAGGTAGCGGCGCTGCGGCTGCTTTATATAGCGACTCGTTGCATTCTCCCTCAACCCAAATCCTCGGATCACGCATTTTAGCTAAAACGCTAACGTCAACTTGCCTTGCGTTGACTGTAGAGTTGTGGGTGATGGTCACGCAGATGCGTCATGAGATTTGAAGCGTTGATGCCTTTCACAGACACTTTTTCCTGCATGTGCTGCAAACAGGATAGCCGTCTTCTATCCACTGTCCCTCGGCATTCTTCAAAAATCCAAAAAATGCCCGTACTTCCCACTTTGTCTTCTTTGAGGGATAATAAACGTCCTGAGTGCTGCCTTCTCCTCCTTTGACCATTATTTCAGCTTTAGCTTCAAGAAAGTTTTGGTTGTAAACAACAAAGTGCGCATGTGCCGCTGGCAACTTCAGCAGATGATACGGTGGCTGGTAAGGGTCACCGCGCCTACACCGCAGCCACGGTAATCCACCGAGATAATATAGTTTTTAAAAAACAAGACTGTTATTATTGTCAACTTTTTTATCGGGGTTTACCGCTACATCGGTTACCATGACAACCCTATTGCTAACACTGAAGATGGGTAAAACATGCAGATGTAAAGAAGTGGGGTTTGCAAATTTCATAAGCCAGCTTTTTTAGAAGACTACTAATTTACGTAGTAAGCAGGTCAGACACAGCTCTGACGCTACATTTGCCTACCCAAGCTGCCTTTATTCAACAACTAAAAGATAAATGTGGCTTTATATTCTGCTGCCCCTCCTTTGGCGTTCCCAAGTGGCTGGGAAGGTTGCATAATAGGGCTGTTTTAATTCATTGATTTAGTGTCATTAGTGACTTTTTGGAAGGATTTTAGAAATTTGGTCAATATTGAATAAAGCACACCAGTTTTTTATAGTGGGCAGTTGTGTCTCTTTTCTAACTTGCATAACTTCAGTTATAAACAACAAGGAGCCTGTTGTTACTTGTGAGGAACCACGTAGACATTATGCAACAGATGACTGCTGGTAGGTACAGCTGACAGAAGGCCTCGGGTCTGAATGGGTTCTGGGATAAACAAAGGTAGAGAAGACGACCTGCCAAAGTTGAAGCTGAGCATCAGAATGAGGAAGAAAGCAGATCTGAGGGGCTTTGAAATCAAAAGCATGGATCCATTAAGAGTTGGATCAACTGTTCAGGTGGAGGTGGTGGTGTAATGGTGTGGGGGTACACTTTTAGCCCCTTAGTGCCAGGATCACAGAAGCTAAAACATGTTTTTAACGCACATCCTGATTCGTCAGGAGCCTTAAAGTCACACTAGATCATTTCCTGCTCCTCCACCCTGCTAGTTAAAAGTGGAATTACAACCCTGCTGTAGCTAGTGCTATCAATGAGCTAACACTATCATGAGCCAACTAATACAAAAATAAACCTTAAAGTAAAAAGATCCACACTGTTGGCCAAAAAACATTATATACAAGTCCAGTAGCAACAAAGCCAGGTCACCATCAGTCCGTGATTTTGTAGCCTCCTTTAGCTCCCACAAACTAGTGGAGGCTATGTTGATGTTCACTCTGATTTTAGCTCTTTGCTTCGCCTCTAAAGAGATACTCTTACTTTTACTTCCAGGCTCCGCCATGATGCCAACAGAGAATGCAAACAACTTATTTTTCTTGTGCTTTTTATTGATGATCGGCAAACTGATAATACTAACCGCTAGCATTACACCTAACAGTGTTAAGTAAGCTGTTAACCTACCTGCTCTATAAAACTATTGAGTGCGTTTTTTGTTCAGTCAAATATGAAACTGGTCAAGTTTCTAACTCAACAATCGCTGATGTTAAAGCTCTAGCTTAAAGTAAAACTAGCTAGTGTTACTTTAAATAAGCACTTCAATCCCTCATTTGCCGTGTGGCAGCTGTAGGTTTTCTGCTAATCTTTGTGGTTACATTGTTTTGCCTGCAGTGCTGTGGGTTTTCAGATGAGATTTCCTGTTTTGCCATCGTAAATTGTTTTATGCATTATTTATGTTTCTGAGTCTCAGACGTGTCTAATTGTCGGACTTAGAAATAATTAGCTTTAACCAAACTGTAATAACCGAATTTAACACAGGCAGATGTGTTTTCTCGTCCCTGCAGCTGACTACCAGATGATTGTTGCTTGAATAATTGGCCAAATAAATTTGTTTTCTAGCTTTTTTAAGTAAAAACAACTCTTAGACTTTTACGTGTTGTTGATTTCAGAAATGAAAAGTTCTGTGGCGAAAAGTAGAGAGCAGCTGTACCTTTTAATTTACCACAGAGACGCTTTGCACTGAATAAAATCCATATATATTTTGGACGCTTTGATTAATTCAGCATATGTTGGATCCCTTTGAAGCCCTCTTTTTCTTCTTGGTTCTAGTGGAAAAATTTCCCTTCCTTTGCTAAGCAGCACCCTGAGGAGTTGGTGCACTAATGCATCACAATGTGAAAGACAAAAATAACTCCACATTGGGGGGAAAAAGCATCTTAATGTTGAAGAGTATCTGAAAGGCCCACCCATCTGTCCTCTCCGGGGGATAAAAACAATCCACACAGTAAAAAAGGAAAAACTGAGCAAGCTCAGATGGAAAAAAATAGGTGAAAATTCTAATTATTCTTGTTTTAATGACACGTAATAGTTTGTGCTCTTGTGCACGACCATAAGAAATGATAATTGTGAAAACCGGTGTACATTCACTGGTCTGGATCTGCATAGAAAACAAGCGTATACAGATTTGTCTGTTAGATGACTATCTAATGAATGACTGGATGGATTTTATTGAGACTTTTAGCATCTTTACTGGATCCACAGCTGGTTAAGTGTGTTATTTTTTGTTGTTTTTGGGTAAAAATGGTCATTGCAGCTACTTGATCATAGCAAAATTGCTATAAGTAAATTTTAGTTAGAAATTTAGCTACAAATTTAATTAAATGCAACATATCTTTAAAGATTTCATTTTTTTTTACTCGAATAAGAATGCACGCAGGCACACCCACACACACACTCGTGCGTGCGTGACTGATGAAAGGTGAGCTGCAGGATGCTGCAAAAGCAGCGCGGCCCTTTCATCCTCCTCCCTCCACTTTCATCCCCCTTTTGAGGCCAGAGCCCATCGAGAGGCGATCCTTTGGGAAACTGCTAGGGCAGAACCGAGCACCTGCGACTGGAGTTCTGCCCACATATCGAGTTTACTCTAAACGGCCGCTGTCTGACCTCACAGGTTCAGTTGCTTAATCACTTTGTCAGCTGTCAACACAATTCTGCACAATAAAACAAAACAAAACAAAAACTCGCACCTCTGACCTTGTTATTATCTTAGCATGTTGTCAGACACTGATGCCATTAATTTGGACTCATCGGAGTTTAATTAGCATGGGCCACATTCCATTTACAGGAGGCTCTGTTTGTTGGCATTTATACAACCCCCAGCAATGTGGCTGCAGAAATGGAACGCAGCCTTCTTTACAATTAGCAACCAAAGGCTTTTTAATGACAAATAAGAACAGCTCTGCATTAAAATGTTATCCAAAACATCACATTTTTGCTAATTTAAACATAAGTGAATGAAGGCCTTTAGTTTTCAGTCACGTCCGCTGCCGTGGAGAGTGTAAATATGATCGTAACCTTAGAGCCGTCGGGGGTAACTGTAATGCCTCCCTAAACGAGACCCTGCAACACCTAATTGAGTAAAAAGGCTTTGCAATCAGAGCTTAGAGTCGCAGAGTCGCCTTTGTTTGGACCACATTTGGTCTGTTGTGTCTGGGCCCCTCTTGATGAAATATTATCATGCGATAAATCACACAATTATGGGTTTTGGTGTTCTGGTGTCTGATTGAACCTTTTTCAGTTGGCCATGAACACAAACCAAAATGGATCTAACCATACACTTAGGCTCTGCGTCGTTCCTGCTCATTTGCATGGTTTCCTCTATTCAGCTGTGGATGAGTGTAATTTTGTTGTTTTTATTCCAGACGCCTCCTCTGCAGAGCAGCAGGAGCTTTTCACCCAGAAACTCCAACAGTGCTGCACCATCTTTGACTTCCTGGACTCGTTGGTGGACCTAAAGAGCAAAGAGGTGAAGAGGGCCACGCTGAACGAGCTGGTGGTCTACGTCTCCACCAACAGAGGAGTTCTGGTGGAGGCAGCGTATCCGCAGATCGTCAAAATGGTGAGGCGGCGCTCTTGATCATCACCGAAGTCATGTAGACTCATTTAATTTTGGAAATCAACTGACGCAACTGTAAATGTTCAGGAACTTCATAATTTATCTATAAATATTTATTTGATGCTTAATTTTTTTTAATTGGATTCTCACTTTTTTTCCTCATCTCATGAAATAATTTGCATAACATGAATTATTATGCTAGAAATTACTGAAGTCTTTTATTTAGGCAATTTCATCATTAGATTCATGGCTTTTTTTTTTTGCATTTGATAGACCAGATTAATTTTAATCATCTGTGCTCGAGGACCAGAAAACACATTTCGTACCACAGATCTACAGTCAAAAAACTGTAAAGCAGCTGGATTATTAACATCTGATGCCTGGAATCCACACATTGGTCATAAGAAGTCATGTTACACAAATACCATGTTTGATAAACTCATCGACCATCTGTTTTAGGGTGTGTGTGTATGTGTGCGTGTGTGTGTGTGCGTGTGCGTGCGTCCTCCCACTTGATAATAATGAGTCAGGTGCAGCCTTTAGGGGACAACAGTCAGTGCTGCAGTGATGGACTCCACACTGGATTATGGTGCTAGATACCACTGAGCACATCCTCAGCTGGGTCAAGGAGTCTTCAGATTACTGATGGATTGTAGGCAGGAGTTCATGTCATACTTTTCCAGTGATTGCTTAGGGATCCTTTATTCACTTTAAAGTGTAAGAAAGTAGAGGAGGAAATCACGCGGAGCCTCGTGATTTGATGCAATTTAAAAATTATGCATCTTTCTTTTAGTTTTTGTGACCATTTATGACTTTTAAATTAATGTACGTATAACCCAAATGAGTTGAACTGTATATATATTTTTATGTTTTAATAAGAAAAATAATCAAAACTGTTGTTTTAAAACATTTTACTTTTGTGACAGTTTGAGTATAAAAGTCCCCCACACAAATAAATGAATAAACATAACAGAAAAGTTCAGCTTCAGTTTACTGAAGTGATTATAAGGCAGACCCATCTATCCACATTATGAATTGTTAGAAGATGATGAAGACTACGACAAAAAAATGACCAGGAAGAGGACAAAAAAAGACAATGTCAACAAAAACGATGAAGAAGAAGACGACAGTGATAAAGAAGAATAAGATGGCAAAGAAAAAGGAGAATTGCAAGAGTGTGTGTGTGTGTGTGTGTGTGTGTGTGTGTGTGTGTGTGTGTGTGTGTGTGTGTGTGTGTGTGTGTGTGTGTGTGTGTGTGTGTGTGTGTGTGTGTGTGTGTGTGTGTGTGTGTGTGTGTGTGTGTGTGTGTGTGTGTGTGTGTGCGTGTGCGTGTGTGTGTGTGCGCGCGTGTGCGTGCGCGTCTGGACGCCGTCAGACGGCTAGGTTAATAACTGAACTCGTGACCACTTGGCATCACACGAGGGCAAAGAGACAATCGCTTCAAGTGCTGCTCTTTATCCAAACGTCAGAATAAATCTCGTTTGAAGGATTAGTTTAGACAAACTGCACATTCAGCTTATAGGATTAAAATTAGCACCTTTTTCCCTTTTTTGTTGCTGGTGGCCTTGATTCTCTCACCTTCCCCTCTCGTACGGCCCGTTGCTAGGTGTTGGTTGCCGTCACCCACAGGCAGACGAAGCTTGGCCTTCCTCACCAGCTTCACCTGCAGCTCTCACACTTAAGAACAGCCTGTTCTGAATCCTCCTACATCACTTTCAAACACAAATAGCTGTTTTCGTTCTCCCTTGTATGAAAATATCGCTCACGCCTCTGATGTTTGCCATCCTCCCACAGTGTTTTCTCTTGTTGAGTCCAATTTTACTTATTTATTCTGCAAGGTGACTGAGAGAATGAAATAACTGCCCCTGATGCTTGTGCGGTGGATTATTTGTGTGTGTGTGGTACAACAATACCGTCCCTCCTCTGTGATACTATGTTTAGACCATGCACACACAGTAAAAAGGAAGACTTAACAGGATGTGTGTCAGCTTTATTAAGATTCTGCAAACCCAACAAGTGTGAAGTTCTGGATTATGGCCAGCTGGGTTCTCACGGTTTGTGTTCTATCCTCAGATCTGGTCCAACTTGTTGCTGTAGTTCTCAGTAGGTAAAATTTAGCAAAGTGGTAGGTTTAAAATGTCAGCTGCATTGCAGATTTCTGCCAAAACACCAGGGATCTAGGTGTTTGTTTAGGATAATAATTCAATTCAGTTGATTTATATAGTGTCAAATCACGACGAGTCGTCGTCTCAAAGCACAAAGTAAACATTACAAAACCTTTCAGAGGTCTCATTTATCAAGCTTGCTTGCGCACTAAACGGGGTCGGAAAACTGCGTAAGCAACTTTCCACACAAACTTTGGGATTTATGAAAGAAAACTTAGCGGAAAAATGTGCGCAACTTTAAGTTGACTAAGGACCTGGCATACGCACATGTTGGACATGGAGAGCACCTGCAGTGCTGCTGCTGAGAAGGATACAATTATGAAATCCTGCAGCATTATCACTTGTACCGCTTCCTGTTCACACAGAACAAGACCTCACACACACACGCGCGCGCGCGCACACACACACACACACACACACACACACACACACACACACACACACACACACACACACACACACACACACAGCCTGAAGCGCAGAATACAGAATGCAGAATATCAGCAGGGGGACAGATTGAGGACTCAGGACTCTATCAAATGCAGGGCATTTATCCTTTTTATTTTTAGAACGCTCTTTGAACAACCTCAGCTTATATCTGCTCACAGCTAGTTGTTAGCTTGCCAGCTAACACTCATAAATATCCATATAATTCTATGTAAATATCACTATGTAAAACACAATGAAAACATCAGAATACACCACAATTAGAGACCAAATTTGTTTTAAGATGACAGAAATCACATTTTGGACTGGCCCAGCTCAGACTAGCTGTTAGCTAGTCAATCTATTTGTGCTAATCTCTGCTGATCCAAATTTAGAACGTTCAAAAAGCATCTGATCAATCAGCAGGGTTCGTCTTGGTGCTTGAAATCCTTTAAAAATGTTTGATAATTTAAAGGTATAGAAAGTGCTTGAATTTGTATTTAAGCACTTAAAAACAGCAACAGAAATTAGTCATAGTCCTAAAATACCAACTCTGTTTTAAAAGCCTCATGTATTTTAAAATCATCGCCAGTGTTAGCTGATGGAAAATCTTCAACACTGACCTCGTGAGTTCTTAAAGGGTGCTTGAGCTAGATTTTTATTGAAGTATGAGTTCGCCCCTTCTTTTCCGACAACGTTCCCATTTAAACAATCAGCCTGGCACAGAATAAAACAATGTAGGCATGCAACAGGCTGTGTTGCAGCCATGTTTAAGAACAGATTAGATGCCTTTTTTGTTTCCAGATGGTGTTTTCATCAGCCATGAAATGGTTGCTCTGCTGTGTTTGATTTCTCCAAAAGAAAATGAAGAACAGCAAGTGGTGAAATTACTGCTCAGTGCAGGTAACAGCAGTGAGCCGAGGGCGAGCTTGTCCTTGAAAATGATCTGCCTCTGCAGCACGAGACCATGGCTATTACTGTCTTCTTCTAACAAAAACTATCTTTTCAGTGTCAACTCAGCGTCAGGATTATTACCATGAGTCCCGTAAAATCTGCAGAAAAAATGATTCACTTAATCAGAACACATTTGGTCATTTTAATTCAGCTTCTGCTACCGTTGAGACATGAATGAAGCGTGAGCTTGCAATCTGCCTGTGTGCATTGTGATGTTGCTGCGAAACAGAAGCAGCTGTGCTTTAGAAGAGATGTTACTAGCTTTAACTGGGGGAGTCGCACTGGCCTCTTTCACACAGCTCTTACAAGGCAGAATGAATGCAACTTCATGGTGCATCCGAGTTTTAAATCAGTGCTTCTGCAGAAGAAGGTGATCAATATTACAGAGCTGCTGTTATTACAGGTCAACATAAGCTGGATCTGACGGAATTATAGTAGACGAGTGATGGCTTAAGAAAGATTTTTGTTTGGTGCTAGAGGCCGACCGATATGTTTTTTTTAAGGCCAATGCCGATCGACAACTGAAAAATCACTGTGTGCAATATAAATTAAATAAGTCAATAAATCTCTTAATATTTATTCAATTTCAAGTATAAAACAAACTCAAAACATTAAAATAAAACGGTGCGTTGGGGTACTTCGGGGCCTTTCTTCAGTCTAGTAGTGGCAACAGTTGGCCACACAGGTGCCCTTTTTTATTAATTAATTTTTTTGTCTGCTCTTAATAATAATAATAATAATAATAATAATAATAATAATAAATCAGTCGGCCATTATATTGGTCGGCCTCTTTTTGGTGCAAAAGTTGCTTAAGATCTTCTGAGCAATTTACTTAAAGATGAGGTTAAAAAAACAATGGAAAATTGAAAAATGGCTATTGTTTCACTAAACTGCGATAGTTGGTGACTAGCTGAAGATGTTAAGTGGCAAGACATTGCACAGATATTCAGGAATCACATTCATACGACACTAATAATTGGCATTTCCAGATTGCTGCCCCAGTACTCCATGGTGTGGTCAGACATCATATACGTAGACGCGATGTGGATTGAGGCTGCCTATTGGACCTTGCATAGCAGCGTGCAGCCATCTTGGATGGGTCCCCAATTGCCCCCAGTGCATTTATTTCCTCCTCCGAAGACGTTTACTCAACTAAAAAACACATTTGATCATTTCTAACAAAATCAGACATATGTTACATTATGGTAATTAAAATATAAATATAATTAAATGAATATAAAATCCCAAACAGGTAGGCTCGAAAAGTCAATAGTAATCCTACCTGATCTGTTTTCAGTACTGCACTGGCTGCACAAAAAACAGGCATAGTTGCACACCCTGGGTGGATTCCATTCATGTATTCATGTCTGTGGGTGTGGCGTTGATTTGGAAAAGGGTAGAATGCCTTCTCCGGGTCAGGGATGAGGTCCTGCCACAAGAGGAGGAGTATCTTGCGGT